TTAAGCTTGATAGGTGATTGTAAGTTTTTTGTTGTTTAACATCTCGTCTAAAATGTTTTAGTAACTTTTGTTCAACATGCATCCCGGCTACCCGGCTACTTTCAATTTTCGGTCGCAATGTCCTCTGTCGGTGTTCCTATAAAGGTGCTGCATGATGCTGAGGGCCATGTAATCACATTGGAGACGATAAACGGGGAGGTTTTCCGTGGGAAGCTTATTGAAGCTGAGGACAACATGAACGTTCACATGCAAGAAATAATTATGACTGCAAGGGATGGCAAAACCTCAAGTCTGCAGCATGTCTACATTCGTGGTAGCAAGATAAGGTTTGATCTTTGCATACTAATGCTAGTCTAGGTTTCTTATTTTGCCGGATATGTTGAAGAACTCGCCTATGTTAAAGAGGCCTCTCGGTGCTCGTGGTTTGGGAACTGGGCGGGGTAAAAACATCATCGTCCGTGCTGGCTGTAAGGCTAAATTGCGTTTTTTACTATTGTTTCAGCTCGTGGTCGTGCTCGTCCCTTACGCGGAGCGCCATTCATTCGACGTTAGGGATTTTGCATTTCATTACATTTTATACTGCATTCTTCCAGAGTTCATTAATTGGGACGTCATGGTGGTCACAGATACTAGTCGTTTGTTACACTACGTGTTGCATCAGCCTGTGAATGCAAATTTTTGATCTGTTTATGGTTAGGTGCCTCAACCTTTATGGTAACATGTCTTCCTTTGCTCCTAATTTTGTCGAGCATACTAACCACCGTTCCAAGTACTCACCGCTTGCGTTTGGCATCGTATCCAATGGAGCGTTTCTTGTGAGTATGGTTGGACGTGAGTGTTTTACTTCTTCGGCATCGCGCATTTTTAGAAGGGATTGAGTAAACTCGTCGAGCTTTTCTTTTATGTGGATGGACTGTCGTGGTGAGTGGTTTAGGAATTTCTTGAGACGGTGTTGCTAGTGCTTGGTTGGTTTTCGAGCTGGTGTTGTGGTCATGCTTGCATTTGAAGAGAGTAATTACTTTGGGTTCTGCTGCGTTGTATGGCTGCAGGTGGGTTGTTCACGGTCGCTGGGATTTGGAACCACGATTGGATGCGGACTAACTTGGTGTCGTCGAGTTATCAGGTCCGCCCTCTCACGTGGGCGTCTCGTGGCGGGGTCCTTCATTCTGGTCCTTTGTATGAGGGCTTGGACGTAATGTGCTGTTTTGGGCGTTTAGCATATCGTGGTTTTTCGCCCGCAATTATTTCCCAGGTGGTCAATGAATACCTTGGCTTGGGACCTATTTTGAGTAGTAACTGTTTTTTTTCGGTTACTCATTCATCTGGACTCTATGACTTATTCCGAATGAAAAAGTTGGTCTGCAAAATTCATTATCATTTCTCGAAGGCGTCGGAGGCAGGCTTTGTGCCATCATTTGCGATTCTCACCACTATTTCCTGGTGACAAGTGTTGCGCCAGAGCAGCATGGAATTCACGCCATTTCACTTGTTATGTAGGAAATCCTAATGCGAGCAAATTTCCTCATCTGATGATGTAAGGTGACATTCCTCTGGGCTTATTTCCGTGTAGCTTAGCACCAAGTTTACCCAATGCGGGTCGTATTCAACTTTAGTGTGGTTCAGATCAATAAACCACTGCAATATACATTAGGCGTGGTAGCATCGAAATGGGCGAGAGCTGTGGCAATGCGATGTCGCGCAAGGAGATGCTCAAAAAAGCCGACCACCTTACAAAACGTCTCACGGATTACCAAGTGCTGAAGGGCAAGTACGCCCAAATGTCTGAAACGGAGCTCGCTCATCTTTGTAGTGTAATGCCGGATGTGTTGATGGAAGACGCTATAGTAATGGACATTAACGCGACTTCGCCGCTATACGTTGTTGGTGATATTTATGGTCAGTTTGGTGACCTCCTACGAATTTTTATGCTCCTGGGCTACCCACCTGAAAACCGCTACCTTTTCCTCGGGAATTACATCAACCGAGGTACACGGTCAATTGAAACACTTGCATTTCTCTACGCTCTGAAACTTCGGTATCCACGCCACATCTACCTTCTGCGGGGCAATCACGAGTGTCAGCACATCTCTCGCCATTACGGTTTCTATGACGAATGTGTCAAAAGATACAACCGACGTCTCTGGCGTGTCTTTGTTAGTACTTTTGATTACCTACCTTTGATTGCTATCATTGAGGAGAAGATCTTCTGTTGCCATAGCGGAATGTCACCTAGTGTTCACTTTTCTGGGGTTTCTAACCTCCAGGAGTTCCGGGACTACGTGACGAAATTGACTCCTCGACCAACTGAAATAAGCACGAGTATTCTTATGACCCACTATACCTGGTCAGAGCCGGACCCGGAGGTTAATGGGTGGGAGCAGAATCCTGCGGGTCTAGCTTATCTTTATGGACCCTCGGTAGTTAGGTGTTTCTGTGAACGCTTCGGTATCCAACAGATCATTCGCTCCAATGAGCTACTCGAAAAAGGCTATGAATTCTTCTGTGATGATAGACTGCTAACTATCTTTTCTGTCCCAAATTTTCTTGGCACCTTTACAAACGACGGGGCGATTGCTGAGGTGAGCAAGGATCCCGAAGCTTTAGAAATTGTCTGCCGCATAAAACTAGTCAAGCCAATTATGCAATTGCGCAATAAGATGACGGGGCGTATGAACATCCTCATACAGGATTCTCTCGACAGTAAACATGAGGAGGAGGAAGAGGGTTTGGGAGATTTGTGAATCGACCATTCTATTAGTTTTCTTTTGCTTGAATTTCCCTCAGATGATTGTGATCATGTGTAATCACTACATATTCCAAATAACAGTGGTAGCGATTCATGGTATCTCAAGCAAAAGCAAGACTTTGCGGGAAAGTTTGGTCCATTTGTGTTGCTTAAGGACTTTTATTCTTTTGAAGCTGTCGTCCCAAATAAAGAAAGTTTCATCCACACGACCCACCAAATCAAAGGGTTCTCGTTTGAGCAATCAGCATCGTTTGCAGTATTTTGATGATGAAACCCGTACAACGGTACAATTGGGTGCCGCAAATGGAACCAAATAAAGTATTCTGAAAAATCGCAAATCCAGTAGTTATGAAGTTGTAACCGGTGTAATAGTACCATTTCTATAAAAAAAAATGGATGGGAAGCAGACCTATAGTGGTTGGTCAGAGTAATTCCCTTTTTTCACATAAGCTTTAGTATGTCCGTAAATTCAGCGATAAGTATTCCGCCATCTTCGTCCTACAAATTTAGTTTATGGAACTAGAAGACACCTTTTTAGCAATTTCTGACAATGCAATGAGAGGAGTGTAGCATCTC